TTTTTTTAAACCTTCCCTCAGGTGTACCCAGGGCTCATGGCGACTGCAGGCCTTATCCACTACGTGCTCAACATGCTCCACATCACCGTCCACATCCGTGATGTGTGCGTCTTTCTTGCGCCTGTGTTCAGCGGCCTGACCGCCATCTCCACCTTCCTGCTAACCCGGGAGCTGTGGAACCAGGGTGCCGGGCTGCTGGCAGCCTGCTTCATCGCCATCGTACCCGGTTATATCTCTCGCTCCGTCGCCGGCTCCTTTGACAATGAGGGCATCGCCATCTTCGCCCTGCAGTTCACCTACTACCTCTGGGTAAGTTCACAGACTTAAAAGTGCCGTAAGGAGGAATCCTATTGTATAGAGGAGACAGTTTAAACTTCTTTGTGAGGAATCAGATTCATGCTCACTCTTTTGGGAGGATTTTACCCACAAAAGTAGCCCCACTTTCAAATCTTACTTTTCATAGATGTTGAATTATTTATCCACAACCTTGAAAGGCATGCTAGGCTTCTTTGTGCACCACGTGAAGCCCCGGACACGACATGCTGCACCATAAAACCTTCACAATATGATGACCTTTAAGAGTAGAATTGACAAGATCTCCCTTTTAAAGGTTGAATAGCTTCTCTCCCAATTTCCTTTCCTTTTTAAAAATGCATGAAATGAACGGAGTGTTTGTTCATAAAGCGGCTAACCTTGTTTTATTTAGTTTTTTTCCCCTGCCTTCAACAATTTATTTATTTTATTTTTTTCCTTCAATAAATGCGGCCTATCCTTGAGTTAACAAGGCAGATGAGAAGAGTCTTTTGTTTTGTTTTTTTTAAATACAGCCTGAATGTTTGCAGCAACTGCATTGCAACATATTTTCCACAGCAGGTGGAAGGAAGAAGCTTTTCAAGTTGAAAGATGCCTGAAACAGACTTTACTTTCAGTCTATTCACTCTTTCAGTTGCATCAGCAGCTGCCTTTCAGCCCTGCAGCTTTCTTACTAAGAATGCATCTCGTGTGCCTTTGTATACCAGCGTGTGTTTGTATTTGTCTGTGTGAAAATGAAGAGCTCTGCTTTGCAAACAGTTTTTATCAGCATTCACTTCTTCCTTGTTATTGGAGTTGACCTTGACAAGTACTGCAGATTTTTTTTTCTTCTGTATTGAGCTGTGTCTGTTCACTGACCTTTTCCCTGCTTTGCTTAAACTCATCCTAAGATAGAAAAAATTTAATATTTCCAGCTTATTGAAAATGGAAGTAATTGTGTCTTTCTCCATAACTGGGTTTCTCTTGACATTAAAGAGCTGAGCTGAGCTTCTATTGGCCACATAGAAATACAGATTAAGAGCAGATAATGGAAGAAGTCCACGCAAAAATGATTAAGTAGCAAAAGATGGGTTAAAGTGCTAACGGTGATGAGAGAGGAAGGGGAAAAATGCAAAAATATCTATCACGATATACATTTGAAAATTTGCGATGACGATATAACTGACGATATAATTGACACTAGACAAAATATTTTACAACTCCTCAACTTTATTAGTGCAAAAAAAATCAATGTATTTTGCACTTACACAAGCAGCTTTTTAAGTGCATTAAAGTTATATAAAAAAATTTGCAGTGCAAATGCAAATCCTTGCTGACAGTTTAACCAAAAGGCATTTCCAGTGGAAACTGGCCGACATATCCTCAGCATAACCATGTATAATATCCACAAAACTTAAAAAGAGGTTATACACACGATACGGATATTATGTTGAAGCACAGTACGTATCAAGCCGCGAGGCTCCTGCCTACAATAGCCGTAATGCTCCGACAATCCATCAAGCCGTGCGGCTTTGTACCTTAGCAAAGTCGTACTGAAATATTTCGAGCGCCGTGTTCCACATAAAATCATTTCGAGGTCAGTAAACACAACCAGAATTCATACATAAGGCACACGGGATTATAAGGGGCACTGTCAACTTTCAGAAAAATCAAAGGATTGATTTTAAGTGTGCCGTATTTTCCAAAAAACACGGTAATAACGACGGCCCGCTAGCATGCGCTACCAAAAATAGTGCTTTGTTGTGTATCTGAGGGACGAAAGCCAAACCAGTTCCACACCACTGAAGTTGCAGCATTTTTACAAACCAGTTCTGGTTCATCCGTTTCACTTTAGCTCTTCTCATTCTGCGTCGCAGCCATGTGCGTATGTAAACAAAGGCACTGCGCATGCGCGTTTCACCCATATTCTATCGCGATACTTCATTTTCTTATCGTTGCCCAACATTACACCGCTATTACCGTGAACGGTATGATATAGCCCAGCCCTAGTATATCAGACTTGAAATGCATCCCTGTTAGTTATCATTCTGCTATGAGGAACATAAAATTCAGGGTCAGTCCAGTTTTCAGTGCTGAGTAGAGAATTATTGGAGAAGAGCTGCGGATTCTTTGAAAGTGTAAATATTACGGCCTTTCATTAGCACAAAGTGAGCATACAGTGCTTCCTGTTCATACAGTATTGTGCCATCCCATTGAGTCCGTAACATTATTTTCTATTAATGAAATCATCTCGTGTTCCTGTGGACTGCAGGGATAGAATATAAAGGCTGCAGGCTACAGAGAAGCAATTACCCACCTCTGCAGTTAACCTGTGCTGAGCAGGTGTCAAATGAAAGGGAGGAAAAATTTAATATTGTAGATTTTATCAATATAAAAGTGATCACTGAAGACACGGAATTGATTGGAAGACAGTTTTAGCAGATAGCAACTCTTACAGGCCTCTGTTTCTGCCTCTGCTTGCAAATCTTTCTCTCAAATATGCATGGGGAAAGGGGAAATTGAACTTACCCTACTGCTTCCATAGGAACTAAGCGGTAAATAACAGGTTCTGCTTATCAAATACAGTCACTGAGTGCTCATCAGTCTGGTGTGAGCACCTCTATAAAAGCAGATGTTTTGGCAGTTTTTGTCAGATTTCTTGCAATGCTCAAAAACAGCAAAAAAAAAAAACAACATATAAAAAACACCCAGGAGCTACATCTCAGACTCTGCAGGCTTGAGTTGTCA